TACTCCTCTTTGATTTTTCTCTCATAACAGCACACCCTTATATTATATAAAGACCCTTCCCCCTGCATTTCATAGGGACAGAGATATACACACTAACCTGGGCTTTTCACGCACAGAATCCACCCTTAGAATTTCCATTTTCTCTGCAAGTCTAGCCTTCTTCATACATTCATATACACCCATAGAAACTCATATCGATCTGACTCTACCTCACTCTCATTGAAAAGTTGAAAACTGAAGGAAAACTTGGAATTCTAAAAAGAGGTTTGAAGAAAACTGATTTCAAAGATCAACTTCTTTTCTTCCTGGATTTTTATAAGTTGTAGAAGGTCACTTTTGTGATTGTTGTTGTTGCTCCTGTTGAATCTATTGTGCTGGGTTTCACATTTAAAGACTTCTAGCCTTTATTTGGCCTCTTGAAATCTATTTCCATTTTGCCGCTAGGTATGTTTCGTTCATCTGCAACCACCTATTTGGATTGGTAAATGAAGGTTAAATTGTTCAAGTCACATCTATGCTTAATCTCATGAATTCAAACGTGTTTAATCGTTAAAGTTGCTTGTACTTGTATTGTTTACCAACAATTGTTTTGATTGATTTTTTTTAGCTGAACCTTAAGCTGATTTTGTTATTTACAACTGATCCTGTTGAAGCACACAATGAACTATGTTAAGAAGTTAGTTGTTACTTGCAATACGGGAATTAAGTCACTTTGAACTTTAGTTAATTGCTCTATTTGTTAGTTGTGATGAATCTACAAGCTTAATCTGGTAGAGTGACTTTATGGTCTTTTCATTTAAACTTAGAATTCGCTAGGAAGGATGCCAGGTCATATGGACTAGACTGGATTTTTTCTATTATATCATAGAGTCAGTGTAATTGAAGCATAGATTTATATATTTTATTATAAAACTTTGTAATAATTAAGCCTGGAGTGATTAGTTGTCAATTTTTATTCATGTAATTAAGCGATTTAGTTTATTGAAATTTATATCATGTGATATGTGCAAAGTCATGTTTCTGGGCTCATCTTCAAGGCCTAGATTTCTATTTTAGAGTTCAGAATTATTTTCTTTTTAATATGTTGCAAAGGCTATTGGGCCATGGTATGGAACCAACCCAGCAATATCTCATAGCAAAGGACCTTTTAATTTACTAAATAGCCGCCCCTTTTAAAGGTCACACCTTAGGCCTCCACTTGAACCTATTTCACATTTACCCATGCCCCATTGGAGGTTTATTATGACGCACCCAATCAGCTAAGCCCGTTAGTTTATTCACGTACTAACGCATAATTTATTTATATAGCAAAGAAAAATATATTATTCGAATTGGTTCAGCTACTGTCATGGCCTAAAGATTTCATCTACAAGGTATTAGATCACTATTGACCAACTTCAGATAGCTTTATTGCATTAAGTGTTTCATCATAGGGGTTCACAAAATTCCCGTTTTTACAAAAATGTGTGCTGCGTCCGAATAAATTTCCATAGTATATAACCTTTATATATGGTTCCAAATTTAGAAAATCAATCAACTCTATGAAATTAGATAATTCTTGAATATGCGTAAAATGCTTTAGGCTTGTCCTAACTTATTATCATGATTATGTACACGTTCGCATGACATAATTATGATTTTCACAAATAAATCAAAGTATGCGTTCGCGCGACTTTGGCCAAATAGTCCTCATATTAATAAAGCGTGATTAATTGTGTACACGTACGCAGAGCATAATTTTAATGCCACAAATAAAATAAATTTACACACATGTGATCCGCTTCAAAGATAAATCCATAACGCCATAATTAAAAATGATAAAAGGTAAATGTACATAGGTTCTAAAAATGAGTAATTAAATAAATAAATTAAGCCAGGTATGATTAAAGTGACCGTGTTAAAACTACAAAATCTTAAAATGCCTAACACTTTCTCAGGGGTTAACATGATTCCTTACCTGATCTTCTGATTTTTGCGACTTTAAAACAGAGTCAAATTTTCTCGATTTGGGATTTTAAAATAAATCGGTGACTTGGGACACCGTAATAATTATCCCAAGTGGCGACTCTAACTAAATAAATAATCTCATTTCGAATAATGTCACTTTAATTGGATAAACTACCTATTCTTCGAAAAAGGAATGTGACAATGATTCCCACATAACGATTATTAGTATGATACAAACGAGAATGCCAAAAATTAGTAGAAGAAAACATATAAACAAAATTATAAGAAGTTTTATTCATCTCAACATTCAACTTGAACATCCTATCACATGCATACCCCTTGCCCACAAAAATACCCTTTATCACTATTACATATTGATCACTTTCAATAATTTATTTGAATCCTGCCTTGTTAAGAAGAAAGCTAGACATCAATTTTTTTTCTCATTGAAGGAGTATAAAGTACGTCTTTCAACATTAATCTCTTCATGAAGTTTATAAATACTCTTCCTGAAGTAAACTTCAACTCGACCTTTCCCTTTCCAAGCACCTGGATTGTGTGAGAATCACCAAGCATGATGGTTTTGATCTCCTCAAATGGAGTATATACTTTAAATCAATCTCTATCATAGCAAACATGACGATTTGCTCTAGAATCAGCCTACCATTCATCAATATTTTCTACCAATTTAGTGTCTGTTATCACCGACACAAGTTATTCTTCGGTAATGTTTGCCTGTGATGTAGGATCACATTTCTGAAATTTACAAAATCGAGCAATATGCCCACTCTTGCCATAGACAAAACATGGTTTCACAATTTGAATTTGTTGATTCTATGCTTAATTATTTGCACCATTATTCTTCTTGAGAGGCCTACCATAATTTTTCTTAAAGTCTTCTTCTTCGGCTTTAAAGAAGTATTTTTTTGAGTTTTAGGAGTAATATTATTTGAAGTAATTAAATTTATCTTTACAATGATGGGTTGTAGAGTGCTCTTTTCCGATTGCATAAGTGCATCTTGGCTTCTTGCCTCTTTTCCCATGCGAATCCGCATTACCAACGTCTCAAGTGAAGTTTCATTTTGTTTGTGATGCATAGTTTTTTGAAATTCCTTCCATAAAGGTGGAAGTTTATTTATTATGACACAAACAATAAGGTTGTCTCCAATTTTAATATCCTCGGACCTGATCTCTCCAACAATCATTATGAAGTCTTGATCTTGGTCTACTATAGATTTGGTGTCCACCATTTGAGAATGAAAAAATCTGCTAGCAGCATATTTTTTCGCACCTGCCTCCTCGGTATCATACTTACTCTGCAATATTTTTCAAATTTTCTTTGCAATAGGTAAGTTCTATCATAATAATAGACCTACCCTATGGTATACCATATGGTACTATATTCACGAGGATCCATATGATACATGCTAGACCTACCCTTGGAAAACTTATGACGGAGACGTGATGAACGAACTTAAGTGACTTGTATGCTTTGGAAATTGGGTTTGTAGGGATCGGAACGATCCTTCCATAAAACAAGTAAAGCAACTGCTTTAGGCCCTACATTTGTGGAAGCCCCATTTTTGTTATACCTAATAGTTTATGTATATATAAGTTTAAAAAAAGGTTATGCGAAGTCAAAAAGTTTGATTTTTTTCTTTAACAGGTATAGAGAAGAAGTATTTGCAACTGCTACGTTTCTGCTAAGAGAATTGCACTTGAAATGAATATCAAACCCGAATTTCGTAAGAAATGTGTGATATGTAGGAAGTAACAACTTGATGAGAATGTTGACAATAAAGTCTCAAAATCTTTCGAAGAGCCCTTTGGAGTTGATTACTTTATACATAGTAGATAGGACTATTTTTTTCACTTCAAAATAGATTTGAACAATTCGAAGCATATGAAATATTTTTGGTTTTATGTTTAGCGATAAAAATTAAGATCACTAGATGATGGAAATTTGAAATAAAATATTGCCTTAATCTTGAATAATCCTTAAAGCATAATAATCAATTCGATATTGACAGTTTAAATTTATTTTTGAAATTAAAAGTATTGAGGAAAATAGTACAGATAAAAGATAAAATTTTTGATTGATACACACCATCAAATAAAAAGATTTGATTCTTTTTCCAATGCCTATATTGCTTATGGAATAATATTAATAACTCTTGTTAATGTCGCTTCAGCGGGAAAAAGTTTTCAAAATTAAAATTGATAAAATCTTACCTAAGATCAACAATGTTTCAAAAAAGGTTAAATTGATTAGCTATATTGTCAATTAAGAAAGACTTATTAGGAGTTATTGATTATAAAAAAAATAGTAATAACTTTGTATATAAGAAACGCTAGAAAAAATAGAGTTTAAATAAATAAATATTTCAAAAAAAAAAAGTTAAACCCCTCATAAAGTTTGGGTTTAGGCCACAATACTCGTCGGGCCGCCCTTGGTAGGGAATTGAACAAAAGGCTCAAGAAATATCATTGAATGATTGTGATTCACGACTAGATTCGCTAAGTCGGAAGTTGAAGAACTAATTGGTTAAAAATATATATTTTCTTGGAAATATTATCAACTTGTATATTTCTATTCTCAACTTCAAGTTGTAAGTCGGAAGATTTTCAGAATTCAAAATTCAATGTTTAAAATTAAATATTTAGTATATTAATTTTAATTTTCATCAATAAAAGTTATGTATATTTTAATCAAATAAACAAAAGAAATAAAGAAATAAGGGGGTCGACTTGATTAGTCCTGAGGGGTCGGAATTGGGCTTCAGGGTCTATGTTAGGCGCCTGCCTTGATAGTAGTAATAGCACAAGCTAGTCATTTTTAGTCTATGCAAATTGAAAAATAGTCATTACTGTGGGATTTTATTTCATAGGTGAAGTGAAACTCCAGGACTTTCAAATTCCAGGGGTGACAGGTCTGAAGTTTGAACTGTCATAGCAATTAGCCAAACTTAATGACTGAATTTTAAGTACATTGTGAATGATGACTATTGTTTAAATAGCTGTCACGAAAGCGGCTATCTTTGCAATTTCAACCTGGAAAAAAGTGGTCTCCCTGCCTCTTACAACCCAAAGCAAAATTTGTGAAACCTAAGTCTCAAACAAAAGAGCAAAAAATCAAAGATGCAGAGATGGTGCACCAAGCTCCGATCCCTCGCCGTTCTCCGTTCGACTCCAAATACCCATCACCCTCTTCCCTATCGTCTTCTCACCACTGCTACCAATCCCATACACAGACCTTTTACTCGTACCTTATTTTCTTCCAGCTTTACGCCCATTTCCCATGGCCCCATTTCATTCCCAAGTTCTACTCACTCCTCTCTCCTCCCTTCTTCTGTAAGTTGGGTTCTTTTTTTCTCTCATATCTTTATCATTTTCATTTTTTTTTTGTCGAGAAAAATTTAGTTAAAAAGGCGATTTTTAATTAGTGGGTGGGTACTTGTTGGTCACCTGATGTGTTGGGCTTGAACTATATATAGATGAATTTTCTTGTACATGTGTATATTTATATTAAATTGCACTCATTCATAAGGGGTAGCCCATAATGACTTAAAATCTGCATATTGTGTTCAGTTCTTTTGCTTTCCCAGAACGTTTAAATAGTATAATGCACTATACTACTGCTATTTATATGTAATTGCTGTAATAAGTGCCACTGCTATTTAACTAAGAGCTGGAAAATGAAAGGAAAAGTAAAGGGGTTAATAAAAATTTGAGCTTTAATTCGCGATCAGTCTTGGATGGTGCTGAAAATGCAAGTAGAGTCTTTTGTGTGCTTATTGCATTTGTCTGTTATTTACTTCTATATTGTTGATTTATGTTTTTTTTCTAGTTCCAGGTGCTGAAAAGTCTTGTAGCATTTGTTCTATGTTTATCGCATTTGTCTGTTATTTACTTATTTAACATTGATTGCTATTTTTCTAGTTCACGCAAGTGCGGTACATCACTGCAAAACAGAAGAAAAGGAAGTTGAAAAGCAGGAAGCCGATGACTCCAGTCACATCAAAAGTCAAGAAAATCAAAATGAAATTTTACTCGTATGTATATGTCTTCATTAACCAATTTGTTTTATATTTTTAGTCATATGAGATATTGAAGAGATGTAACACTTGTTTCTGGATCAGGTCTTATAAGGACAGATTTAGGGTTATGAAAGATGGACTGATTCGGCGCTGGAGAGAGGGGAAGCGACACAATGCACATTTAAAGGTCAGCTTTTCTCTTTTGCTTAGGAAGTTGGGATTGATTTAGCCAAATTCTCTATACATGACCTGTTATTCTTGTTTATATTACCTTATGATTGTGAGGTGGTGTTGTAGGTAATAATTTCAACCACATATGTGTTTTCCCCGGTACTTGTCTTATTGCTGTTAATAGAATTATAGAAATGCTCTTGACTTGTAAGGGATAACTGTTTGCCTGAACGTCGGGGGGGGGGGGTAGGGGGTTAAGAATGCTTCTCGGTGAAAGCATATATCTTTCTTCCCACTATGCAAGAAAATTGGTTACTCTTTGGCAAGGAGTGGGAAGATTACACCTTGCTGTTGCAATTGTTCAGGTTTGTGAATAGGTGCATAACTTGTAAAGTAGTCATTACTTCCTGAAATGAGCTCATGTGATCGCAGTTTGCTAAACTTATTGAATTGATAGGATTCTTTTTGCTCAATACATTGAAATGGTTTAGCAATCCAGTTGATTTAGGGTCCAAAGATGTATTGAACTAAAATCTTAGTGCAAATGTAGGGTTGTCTGTTAATTGTTAGTTGATGATTTGTGACATCTGTTTAGGAGAATGAAATTACGGATTACGGAAGTTTTATGAGACCTCCAAATTGGAGCTTTCAGATGTTGGAGTTTCAATAAACAAGGGAAACATTCCTAATAAAAAAATAAAAAAATAAGGGAAATGTTGTAAGGAAGAATTCTGGAACCCAATATTCAGTGAAAAACCAGTTATGAATCAAGCATGAGAAAGGTTAAGTGAACCCAAAAAGCAGCTAGAGTGTTTGAGAGGACAAAAAAGATGTTTCACAGCTAGTGCTTTGTTGTGCAACTTTCAGAACAAAATCAGTTTGATTCTAGAAATGATTGAATTCTTAAATCTAGATTAAGAATGACCTAGAATCTAATTTGCCACCATTTTCTTTTTATATAAGTGATACAGATATTACGCTTAGAATGAAGATTGCTATAAGTTAGGGAACTCTGAATTTGTAGTTCATACCTATCACAAAAAAAGAAAGATCTGACTTATTTTCTTAATCCGAATTATTTAGTTCATGTTGTCTTTTAGAAGGATTTCACTCGTACCTTCATTTTTCTGTCCAAGTTTGTCTGTAATTTTAGGTTGCTAGGAGCATTCGGGGCAATCTTTATCTTGGGGTTTATTGCGTCTTTTGGTGTCTTTTAGGTTGTCTCAGTATGCTGAAATTTGGTTGCAGGTTAGGCAACAGAGGGTAGTCAATTAAACAAATGCAATCATAAAAGTTTGATCACTGTGCTTGACTAAAAGCTTTCAAACACCTAGAGAAATCAAACTGAACTAATAATAATCAGAATTGCAGGTTAACTTTACCAGCTGCTAGTGCACGTCGAAATTTTCAATTTGTATTCTGTAGTGACACAAGAGGAGCACGAGTGGGAAGGTGTTCACTTTGGTTCAGTTGAAGCCCTATTTCTTAGAGGAAACTGCGCAAAATCCTTGAAGATGTTCCTTTTAGCACGTAATGGAAGTTCTTCAAGATAAACATAAAAGGCAGGAATAGCTGAGATTAAGAAATTGCAGATCAACAAACTACATAAAAGGAAGGAAAATAATATAAAAGAAATCCAGAAAATTAGGAACCAAATAATCAAATTTTGCCTAGAATAAGTAAAAGATAGAAGCTGAACTAATAACCTAAGCATTATAGAGTGCTACAGGACCACAACTACGATGCTGCTATACTGGTGAATTGTGATCCAGTGGAACTTCTAGTTTTGCCCCATCTGTCCTTGTATCAGCTTTCCTTAGGGTCCCAAAGAAAGTTGGTGCCCAAGTTTTTGCATTCCATGGTGAGTAGGAGTGCATGTAATCCTTTCCATCATTTCTTCCTTTTTCTCTTATTGACTGCCTGGAAAATCTTCATATTTGATAAATTCACATGATGAATGTCGTGAAAATGTGAATGCTAAAATGTTTATGCGCTCATACGAGATTGAACAAGGTTAGAAATGATCACATCTAACGGAGGTTGAAGTAACAAAGAGGATGAAAAAGAGGTCACCTAAGATGGCTTTCTTATGTCCTACATAAGACCTTAAGATGTACCTGTCTATACGTGCGAGTGCGACAATATGATGATCACATCTAACAGAGGTTGAAGTAACAAAGAGGATGAAAAAGAGGTCACCTAAGATGGCTTTCTTATGTCCTACGTAAGACCTTAAGATGTACCTGTCTATACGTGCGAGTGCGACAATATGATGATAGAAAGTGGTAAAATGCGATGAGATAGAAATTTCAACAGACTTGACAACCTTTTGAGATTAATATAGGCTTAGCCAAGAAGACGACCCAATTAAAGCAAATGAACAATATACTTATACCAACTAGTTAGGATTGAGGTTTAACTGTTAATTTTACACTTACATTTGGTTTGGTGCTTTTGGGAGTCTTTTGGTTCTGGTTAGACTTATACGTCTGGAAATAAATGCAAGATCAAGAGAACCTTAAGTTTTAGAGAACCACTAATTTGCATCAAAATACAAATTATTAAGTCTTGGAATGGGAGCTGAATATAGTAGACTGGATAAAGAAGATCCATATAGCCTATTCAACTAATTTAATAGGCGTGATTGATGATTCATTGGTTGTCATTTGTTTCTTAACTACTATGTGTTATCGAATGTAACATCCACCCCAAACTGAATTGCATAGAAACACTTACTAATGAGTTGGCATTGCTTTTCTTTCTCCAATTAGTTAATAATTGTTTGGCCCTATTAGTTAATTACAATATTGTGCATCACAGCTAAGTGTATCTTGGGGCTGTAATACAGTATTTGATATGGGATGTATAAACCTCAAGTCCTGTGGGAACATAATCTTGCAAGCTGTCAGGCTGAACTAGTAAATTAGATTTGATTTCTGCTCAACTGCAGAGTATTCAGCTTGTTAAGAGGAATAGTAAGTCCAAAATTTCCTTAACAAGGTGAAGTCTGCTGTAAGATCACAGCTTCTGAATTACTCTTACTCTTATGCCTTCATTGAGTGGTGTCCCAACTTGCCTCGGATGGAGGAGTAGTTGTTGATGACGGTGTTGTTGGGGCAAGTTTGCCCATACCTGTACTATTCCACTGGGTACCTGCTATTTCCCACCAACACAGGTTTTGGTAGGCAATATCTTGGATTTCCTGATATCAAGGACTTCAGAAGTTGATTTTATAGTAGATTCTTGGATATATAGAAATATAGTAAGGTCAAATATGCTGGAGTACACTTTTTTTAAGAATAAAAAGGTAGAATTCCATGTTTCTCCTCCTCCATGGTGCTCTTTACACATCAACAAAATGACAATCATTATTAAAAAGAGATCCTTGAGCACCTAATCGAAGTTGAGCTCCCATCTTCTGTGTTGAATTATCTGCATGGTATTGTGTTTATACACTGGCATTCTTATAACTTCGATGTGGTGTTAAACTAGTTTTATTGCTTGCTGCAGTCTAAGAAATCAAAACGTCGACTCAGGCAACCTGCTACTGTCCCTTTGGCTTATGCAAAAGTGATGAAGAAGCTCAACTTTTGTGGTTGAAGCATTTGTAGTTCTATGCCCTTGCTGCGCTTAAGAGGCTTTTCTACTCTTCTCATTTTATTGGTTTCTCCTCTGGTACAGCTACTAGTGTAGACGATTTTTTAAGTCAAACATGTAATGTCTTTTGTTTCAGGTCGTTCATAACAAAGCTTTTACATTCTCTGGCAAAATGAGTGGATTTTGAGAGGTTTCCTAAGAACAAATAAGATTTACCTAGAGATGATCTCAGGAGCAAGTCGTTCGAATGAAAAATATTCTCTGATATTCAAGTGGAGAAGTCTTCAACATGTTTCTGGTAGTTTAACTAACTTTTCCAACTGTGATACAAATATAAACTGATTATTCTACATATTTTTAGAGGACTCAGGAAAGCCTAGCAATTTTCGCAGGATTTATTTTACAACATGTTGAAGAGCCTAAAGGAGAGCAAGTTAAAGTATGCCATCTAATATAAAGCAATTTAGCAATGACACAAATTCATGCTAGCCGAGCGATTGTGTTTTGTCAGGAAATGTGGTGAGTAAATAGTTAAATTATGTGGTTGTTAATCATAATTTTTGTATTGTTTCCCCTGGTATTCGGTGTCAAACTGCTAACCATCTCATTAAAAATGTCTAGTCGGTGACATGAACAAATGTTATTCCAAGGGAAAATAAACACAATCAGGTTTCCCATTGATTATCACTTATATTTCATGTCAATTTCAATCTAATGGCTAGTACTTATTAAGAAGAGAATTATAGGTACACCAACATGCTAATGCCAAAAGAAGAATGATCCCTAGTCTATTTTCCACTTGCTAGCTGAAGGTTTGCCCTAAGAATAGCAAGAAATGGACAAAAACTTGTCAGACAATAAAGCTTAATCTTGGCGAATGGTTCTAAATAGATAAAACTTTCTACGTAGTTTCTAACCAAACAAAGCAAAAACGAAGAAAAACTAAGTGGTTAACCTAAGTTTAAAAACCCAATACACTGTTCCCAGCAAAAGTTTTTCACATGTAAACTTTCATCTGTGCAATGATTAATACACACACAAAAAATTTCATAGATGAGATATGTAAAGTTCTCATCAAACATCCATTCACATAGTAGCTGGAACTCTTTAAATATCAAAAACAAACATTGCTATAGTTGCCAGTTTTGATCCTCTCAAACAAGAAGCCACATATAGCAAGTAAGAAAACAGTTTTTCTCATGAATTTTCTCTATGTTCACAAGAAAAGAATGAAGATTTCAAAGCAAAATCCATGATACATAGAAAAGTTTACTAGGTACATGCACACGATGGCAATAATCTTATTTTAAAATAATCCAACAGAAAATTTTGCAAAGAAGGAAAAAGCAACTAGAGCTGAACTCTCACTTCTTCTTGGGCTTCTGCGGACAAAGGTATCTTCATTTCAACACCACTACCCAAGGCAGCCATTGGTGAACCCTTTTCACTATGCTCTCTCACATGTCCAGCTGCTTTAGCTCCTGCAAAGTTACTGATATTCCCAAATATGAGGATTATTTTCCCAAGAATTGCAGCACAAAATGCTATCCCAAATGACTTGCTGATTTGTCCAGGGAAAACTGATGCAAGTGCAAAACCAGCACAAGTACCTAAAGCTCTCATCCATGAGAACCAAACTGAGAAAGCACCTTCTTTTCCTGCTGGTGAGCAATCCAACCAAAGGACTCTTCCAAATGCATGTAAAATCCCTGTTGCTGTACTTTGAACTGCAGCAAAAATAAGTATATGAACCTTATTCCAATTCTGATGGTGATAATAGAATCCGAATCCCGATACAACTGTTGATAATATGAAACCAAGAAGCTGCATTTTCACAGCATCTGCCCTCATTACTAACTGCAGCGGATGAGCCAATGGAAGAGAAATCAATGGGAATATGAAATAGGTCAGCCAAATGTATAAAATGTTCACTGGTGTAATACACAGGTCTCCAATTGAGTAAAGCATCCCTCCTGTGAAAATGCACATTGTTGTGAAAGATGAAAGGAATACTCCAGCAAGGCTTCCAGCTGCATGAGGGTACTCGAAAATGGAAATAACATGAGTTTTCGGGACAGAATTTGAGGGAACATCTGCATTTGGACCCGGTCTATTCGTGCTTATAATATGAACAATTCCGATAAACCATATTAGACCACTAAAAATTGCAACAACCCACAAGCTAGTGAAGCTATCATGAGATTTCCCGAGCATATGATAAGTAAAAGCAGAGATGATGCCAGCTCCTAAGCAGCCAGCAGCAGTAGAATGAAGAGAAAGCCAACTAGCCACAGCTCTTCTATCCGGAAACTGGCTTTTACGTATAGGCGAACCAACAAGTCCGCGAACCATTAGGCCAAGGTGACGGGCATGGCAAGCTCCAGCTATAGTGTTGGCTGCAACAACAGCTGCGATATAAGGTGGAAAGATCCATCTAGTCTTGAAAAATCCAGCAGGAAGGCAGAAGACAGCTCCAACAGCGGTTACTGCAGCAGAAATGAGCTGTTGTTTCCGGCCATAGTCTAGGTGGATGGAAAGAATACCAAGAATTGGTGCGGCCAGAATTAGGCCTATTAACCAAGAAACTGAAGTCCACTCCAGTGCTGAAAATTCAACACTGAACAGCTTCATTTTATGATTTGTTAACATTTCATACCTGAAATTGGACAAATGGCAGCTTGAATTAATTAATCACAGTTATTACAAATCAAATTATTTTATAGAATAAGAACTGAATAAACTAAGCTCTATAGAAAACTAATTAAACACGGGGAAATTTCTTAGCCTGCATCAAAATGCGATGCAATAGTAGCTTTTAAATTAGCGACACAATCAGTTTGCAGTCAACAAAATAAGATAATTTTTCATTGCCTATAACAACACCAATACTAAAGGACAATTAAAAATTTCCCTCCATTTGACAGATGTCTTGTTTAATTTAGAGAGTGTCCTTGAGAGTAAATCAACCAGTTAAATATTTGGATGTTGTACTAGATTACTATTTTTTATTTTACTAGATTAGTAATTAGCTATAGAATTTCTAATGTAGTAAGATCTGTGGCATATAATGTTTTTTTTGGGTACTGAAATGATTGAAATATTATTTTAACTGAATTAGACCTGCACGTGGTACATTGAGAACTCACTCACACCCAATTTAAAAATGTACGGATTTATCATGGTTAAATACAAATTGAGGTGATAATACATATATTAATATAATTAACTATGACACCGAACGCGAGTGAATTTATTCATTTGATGCATAGAATTATATTCTTTGTATCATTCATGATATGTCTCAATTATATATATAGTGTACTTACAGTTGAAACTCCCTCTGTCTGCACTCGAGACCCCTGGAATTCTTAACAAGACGTTGTTGAGGCTGTGATGGCCAGGACACAGTTTGGCTCAGAATGAGCGGAAAAACAATGGGAATCAGAACTGTATGAATAAAATAGGAGCACATCCCATATAAATACCAACCAAATACTTCAGTTTTTGTTGGCTTCTCTTCATATCCTGCAAACAATCTATAGGCCTCCTCTTCCCTTTGAATTTTCGTACCCATCTCTTCGTTGTGTTCCACTGATCTTGGCTTCAAACTTGGTGCCTGTTCCACCTCACAAGTGTTTTCTCCATTTTCTCCCATTCTAGCGCTTTGGAATGGACAAAAGCAAAACGATTTTTAGCGTTTGGTTCCAGAGGTATATATATCGCAGTGATTGTTTAGACTTTAGAGTATTTGTAGAGACTTTAAAATGTGAAATATTTTTTTGTATGTGAAGGGAACAGCTGGCTGTGATGGTTTCAAGGATTTAAATGTCCAATTTTGGATTTTGCAAACCTTAGTTGGATTATGTAAATATTGGTTGTATTAATTTTGAAAAACCTTGGTTTCATCACTATGACATCAAGAAAAAAAAATGCATCTTGGCTTTATACTGTTTTTTCTTGTACTGGTCGTCTCTTGTTATAATATTTCTATTTTGAGAGGCCAAAGACATCAAATGTTTCATAATGGAAACAAAGAGTTATCGGCAGATTGAATAATGTCGTACGTGTCAAACCTGAAAACGGATGCGAGAAAGATATTAAAAATCTGCTTAGGGTTATATTGGACTTTATAATCTGCTTGCTACCATTCTAAATGCCTGATTCGCATCTCTCCAAATAATTCCCAAATAAGTTAGGAATAGGATTTAGCTCAGCTCTAAGTCTAGATTGCCCTCGTGGAAACTAGGGTCAATGGGGGAAAATCAAATAAAAGTTTTTTTTTCTTCCCCGATCTAAATAAAAGTTTACTTGTTAACAATATGTTTATCTAATGAAAGTTAAAGATTGACTAAAAGATAAATGCGCGTCAATCCAAATTAGTTTGGATCGAGTATATAAATCCTTAATATATGTTCCCTTGATTTGGAATAATTCATTTCTGTTGCGGAAGCCAAATGTATATAGTGTGAATAAGTCACAACTACTATACCAAAAATTATGACAGCCACCAAATAATAAATAAGACAATAAAACAACAATAAAGTGAACACCAGAATTTACGAGGTTCGGCTAATTTTGCCTACTCCTCGGACACAACCAAATATTTTATTCCACTCCAAAAATACAAGTGAAATAATACTAAAGAGAGAAGATACAAATGCCTTAAACAGATGAGAAGGCAAATGAGAGGTGTGTTTCAATCCTAAACATTAGGCCTTCTTTTATAGGGGAAAAATCCCCCCCAAACTTAACTCCCAACCAATGTGGGACTTTGGCATTTTGCCAAACTTCAACAAATCTCCACCTTGGCAAAATTCCACATTTTCAATTCTCTCTCAATAACAAATTTTGGTTGTGTCTTCATCTTCAATCTTCAGTGTTCAACAATGTTGATCAAATCCAAACAATGTTGAAACTTGACCGCAGTCACCACCTTTGTCAGCATATCAGCAGGATTCTCTGTAGTATGAATTTTCTTCACCGTGACTCCACCTTCTTCTATGATTTCTCGTACGAAATGATACCGAACATCAATGTGCTTCGTCCTTGCATGATAAACTTGGTTCTTCGCTAATTGAATAGCACTTTGACTATCACAAAAAATTGTGATACCTTTTTGTTCAACACCAAGCTCCTTTAGCAATCCTTGAAGCCAAATTGCCTCTTTCACAGCATCTGTAATAGCCATGTACTCTGCCTCTGTTGTAGACAAAGCAACTGTTGACTGCAAAGTAGACTTCCAACTAACTGGTGCCTTTGCAAAAGTAAACACATAACCAGTAGTTGATCTTCGTTTGTCCATATCACCCGC